GGAGGAGAGAGTGTAGGTAGATGCAGCGCAAGTCTACTGGCACTATAAACCCCCTGCGCAAGTCACCGTCCCTGCTCCCACCGCTGCTGCAGCTGTGGGGCACACGGTGGACATCGTCGAAATCGACGGTCGAACTGTCGTGCGTGTGTGTGTGTGTGTGTAGAGGGCAGGTCACAACATAAAAATTGCAGAATTTTGGACAGGTCACCCGGAAAACCTGGTTCTATGTGGGGTCATTTCGCCTGTGGCACGCGCAGAGGAACTGCTTGACTTTATCAGCATCAGATGACGGATTGGTAGAAACAGAGACCTGGTGGCTGGAAAAGGGAAAGAGGGGTGAGTCCAACTCTGGGGACTGCGTCTTCACGGCAGCCGACGCCTGTTCTTCACTATAAACACTCTGACGTGCTTTCATACCATCACGGTGCTCTGAAAGACATGACTTGGAAGGCTGCCAACGGCTGCAATGGCTCCTCCTTAATGTTACTTAGGAGGGAGTACTAAGGTAGGGCTATGATACTGATTATCATGCGTCATAATCCTATAGTATTTCAGACTCACCAGTGTCGGCTTTTGAATGCGCCTCTTCCTTACTTGTGTGGCATACGTTTTTTACACTGATTTACTTCCACAAAAATCTGCTTTATTGTACTCCATTGGTAGAAAATCACATTATCTTCACATTTAGTACCCATTGAAAGGGCATCATTTGGTTTTAGAAAAGTTTCTGTTTATGAGATTTTTGAGACCGTGCTATGTCCATTCCTACAGCATCGCATATGTGCGTTAGCCAATGGTCTTCTCGAAATGAACAACATAGTCCGCATCCATTGCAAAATTTTATGAACTCTTTATTGTGTTTTCTTAATGGCATCGAGGAATATATGATTTTCCTCACGCGGAAAGCATACACCTTATAGACTGAGATCGCTAAACGCTAACGCAATGACCGGTTAGGCTCAAAATTATTCGGAAATTGAGAAGCTTTTTCAAAGCCTAAATATACATTTCTTCGGGTATAAAATGCAAAAACAATGTGATTTTACACCAAATGAGTAGAGAAAAGCACACTTTTTGCATGTTTCCTATAAAATATATTTAAATTTAAAAGGCCATCGAAAATCGGTGTGAAAAGTCCATGCTACATAATTAGTCCATTTATACCGACTTTGGTTTCTGCAGGCGAACGAAAGGAGGCGCATTCAAGAGCTTACACTCTCGTTAGTCTGATGTCCTATAGGATTGTGACGCACGCTAATCAGTGTTACAGCCCCACGTTAGTAATCCCTCTTAATCGAAAACTCATTTCATAATTTTGGCCAACATTTCATGAGATCGGTCACGCACTGTATATGACTCTCCCACTCAGTTGGGACGCGTGAAATCTCGGTCCTTTGTGCGTGGATTAGGTGGCGTAGTAGCACGCCTTGGCGTGAATTAACATCGTGCCAACCACCTGCATCCTATCAGGCTGCAACGGCTTCTGCCTAACGTGTCCTGTTTGGCACGGTCACTCTTATCCATTACGAAGGGACCCCCTTCTTCGCTGAAAACCTTGTCAATCGCGAGCGGACCAGATATGTGCTGCACGTGCAGACAGATTGGTTAGCTTTTTCGGCCACTGCGTCCGGTCTTCTTGACTCTGTCTTAACATCAAGCCTAAGTAAGTGATGGTGGCGAGAGTTCGGCAGATGCAGCGCAAGTCCACTATCAGTACAGACTACCTCATTCGCAAATCACCGCCCCTGCATCCACATTGCTTTGGAACACATGACTAATATCGTCAGTAACGACGGTTTAGCCGTCACCAGGTTCACCGATGTGGTTGGATGGAGTCATCATTGTATTATCAACAATAACAGAAACGTCTTCTACCTATCTTTCCTGGATGTCCTCATGAATAGACCGGAAGATGGTTCAATAAGGCGATCTCTTTTCCGCAAGGATACATGAAAAGGCCAATATCTACACTTCTTGAGCTTTGTGCCGATACAACGAAAGCGAACTTTGGTTAACACTCTATTCCAAAGAGCAAGAAACATTTGTTCTAATGAAACGCTGGATGATGAACTTTCTTGCCTCAAAACAGCACTTCTTAAACGGGGATATCCAACGCGATTCATTGAAAAGTAAAGCAACACTCCACCGCCAAAATTGACGGAACAATCAGTTCCGGAAAAGCCCGTTGTAATATCTTACCCTTTAGGGGCGACAACATCTCAAATACCATCAACTGGTGATTGAGATGCGCTATCGAAAGAACTTACAACTCAGCTGAACTTATATTCTGCGGTTCTACTAAGGCTATCTAAGTTCCACGAGCGAAGGATGCACTGGCCATTGCACGCCACGTCA